CCAGCCCTGCGGCGGCTCCTGGAGACCCCCAGGCCTGGGCGGCAGCCGGGTTTTGGGGCGGAAGCCGTTTTGGGGGTGGAACGGGGTTTTTAAAGGTGTCGCGTGGCCGAGAGGCCCGGGCAGGGGCAGAGGAGCGCCCGGCCTGGGCGACACCCCGCGCGGTGCCTTTTCCCCTTGTCCGTGTGGGGTTAATTCTGGGGTCCCAGAGAGGAGGCTGCCAGGCTGGTGCCTTTAGGTAGGGCCTCATAAACCCTCCCCATCCTGGTGCCTTTAGGTAGGGCCTCATAAACCCTCCCCATCCTGGTGCCTTTACCTAGGCCCTCATAAACCCTCCCCATCCACAGCCCAACGTACACAGGGGAACTGCTGTTCTGAGCATTCTCACTGAGCCACTGAGATGATCTTCACACTTCAGCATTTTCTAATATATATATTTTTTCTAGGCTGCTATTGCCCTGAGCCCCAGGAAGTGCTAAAGAGATAGCGGGTTTGTGCTGCTCGCCACAACGCCCAGCACCCGGAATCCGGGAGTGGATCCGACGCTGCCCGCGAGGCCTCAGGCGAGTCTGGGTTGGGCGCGGAGCTGCTGCTCGGCGCCCAGGTGCTGAAATTTCCCACCTTGGATCTCAGCATCGCCAAATATAGGCATGTTCAGCAACCTCGGCATCCGCATGGATGAGGAATTCCCTGAATCAACCTCAGGATATTGTCTCGGCTCGCGTAGTTCTTGGTCTTTGTTTGGACTAGAACAGGGATTATGTGTGTGGAAGTTAGGTCTGCGCTGCAGGGAATCCTCTGGTTGTCATGTAATTTGGGGCATCTGTTCCCTTATAGAAAAGGACCTATTGATTATACCCCATTAAGAGTTGGTGAACTTCTGCTGTAAAGCTTTGCTTATCCTAGAAATGACTGTCCCGGCAACTTTAAAACTGCAGTTTTATGTTGCCTTTTTATTTTTCCTTGTCAACAGGATATTCTCTCATTTTCACCTAAGTGAAATGAGCACCTAAGTGCCTAATGAGCGCCTCCATTTACATACGAACTGAAAGTGGTAAGAAAAAAAAAACCAAAATTGACTAATTGTGCCACAGAATTACTGGATTGCTCTCACATATCACAATCACAGAATGGTTGAGGTTGGAAGGGATCTCTGGAGATCATCTAGTCCAACCCGCCTGCTCCAGCAGGGACACAGAGTCTCAAGCAGTCTCCATCAGAGATGAACTATTCCACTATAAACATGGATAAGTAGGATTTTTTTTTTTTTTTTTTTTGAGCAAATGTGACCTAATCAAAGGCAAAGCTGGCCTAATCAAGGCTCGGAGCACTTGATAGCAGCTGTGTGATGGATCTGGGCTTAACTGCACATATCATGTAGACCACTATGCACATGCAGGTCACCTGCATGGCCTGGCTGTCAGGTTCAGACCTACGGTGTGTCAAGGTCCCTTCAGATTAGGGTCATGTGGATTTATGTGCCTTAAGAGCTCTTCATGATACACTCTTTAATGACAGAGCCATAAATGAGTTCACTCCCAGGAGCCCCATGTCGCAGCAGGGTTGATGTTCTCTGGAGAGCTTCTATGAGAGGAGGCTGCAAGAATTTCTTCCCTGTAGTTGAGCAGTGTAAAGGCTAAGAGGAGGTTTTGACATCCCAAAGAAGTAAACAACATGGCTGGAGAATTGTGATTTAAAATGAAGAGACATATGTAAAAACTGTCCATTAATGAACTTAAACCAAAATGATTAGAAGATCTTATAGGATCCTGGTTTCTCAGAGCAATAAGGCTGTGGGACAACTTCCTTTTACTGAGGCCAAGAACCTACTCTGAGGTGGGCACCTTGTAAGAACAACTAAGTGATGTAGTTGCCTGAGATAGCAGTAGACTTTGCAAACAATTTTATGTTTCCATTTAATATTTCTTTTAATGCTTATTGCGTGTAGAATTTAGTGTACACTCTACTGCACAGAATTATATTTCACTGAATCTAAACCTATTCATTTCCTTTAAAGCTTTTGAGGAGTGCTATCACTCTGCTAAACATGAATGACTTTGAAACGCGGTTATGCAATGGGTGCTGTTATCATATCTTACATCCAGGAAATTAAAAATATCAGCACTTCTAGATACATATGTGAAGAAACTGAAGACATTCATTTCCAGAGTAGAAAACATTTTATGCTGTGTGAGGCTTACTGAAAGCCCTCCTCCCACTGACTTCAGGGGTACCTGCTGGTTCAACATCTCTGCAACTCATGTCATATAGTACTTACATGAGGTGGGGGAGACAAATGAGAAGCATTAAATGCTAATTGCTTAGAAGTACATGTGAACTTTAGGACAGAGATAGAATCTAGTTGTCTAGAGCTTCAGTTGTCTGTCTTAACTCTTAAGACTCTCCTTTTGTTCTGGCAGATGCAGCCTCCCCCATCACATACATTTCATGTTTACATCAAGGGATGCAGAGATGCTACAGACAAGAATTTCCCTGCCTAATCTCCATGCCCAGCCTTTCCTGTATCCAGAGTTTGTGCCAGGTGAGGCTGGTTCATCACAAAACAGACACATGGCACCATGGACTAAGGTGAACATACCAACCACTGGCAACCAGAAAAAGCAAACTTGAGTTCTGGGATTTGCACCGGTCCCCACTGAACATCAGTGTGACTGACCTCTGCAGATTAGCAACAAATTTCTGCATTATTGGAGATGAACCTATAAAGGGTAGCAGGACAAGAAGCAGAGCAAGTTGGGATCCTGCCTAGAGTGGCATTTTTACAAGTCGGTTTCGTATCTTTTTGCATAATTGTAAGTCAATATATTCCATATTTGTAAAGGCAATTACAGGACTTTTCTCCTTTTCTTGCCTGCTTCTTCCTATCTTTTTCTTTGCCTCTCTCCGATCTGTGGGTTTATTTTGCTATCTCATCTTATCCTGTTCTATATCCTGCTCTCTGCTCAGCTTCTGCCCTTTTTCTCCCCATCTTGCTCTCCAGGCTACCGTTCTTTTTGTTGCTCTTCTCTCTGCCCTTCTTCACTTTCCAATAAAACTGAGCAGAGGAAAAGACTTGCATAGGAGGAGCAGACATATAATAAATAGTCTTATGTGAAAGTATGGAATCTTCAGAAAATTTTGCTGACAAATTGAAAGATGTCAACAGAGCATACTGAAATTGTTGGTTTTCTTCATGGTTTACCATATTTGGGTAGTTTTCTGTGAAGCTGGCAAAAGACTTAACCTCCAACTGGCCAACTTTCAAGTTTAAAGGAGTCATTTTGGCTGTAGGTGTTGGAGTTCTTTGATAAAATGTTAAAGTTTTTGAGTTTTAGGGAGAAGAGACCTCTAAAGGAAGATGCTGAGTGCCTAGTTAGTGTGTTGTTCTTATGCCATTTTCTGTTGATGGGAGAAGGGGAATCAAGGAATATTTTGAGTTAG